AGAGGGAGAGGGAGAGGGAGAGGGAGAGGGAGAGGGAGAGGGAGAGGGAGAGGGAGAGGGAGAGGGAGAGGGAGAGGGAGAGGGAGAGGGAGAGATATGGATGGAAGGGCGGGAGGGAGGGAGGGAGGGAGGGAGAGGCAGGGAAGCACCTGAAGGAGAGCGCACAAGGAGCAGAGGATGAAGGAGGAGGAGATGACTTCCACTTTGCATCGCTCCCTCATGCTGATGCCGCAGGAAGTGAACTTGAAGTCCGTGCAACGGACTACGACCTGGGGCCCCACGGAATCAGGAGGAGAACAGCGGCAGTGTAGAGCAAAGTGCCTCTGCAGAGGAGGAGCAGACGAGCGCTCCTCCGAAGCTCATGTTCTGCAGAGTGCAGCCGTCTAGCAGGAGCTTGCAAGAGTCCCGAGCCAGGATGCCGACGGGGCTGCGGGAAGTGACTCGTCAAGCGCAAGCTCACAGTTTCTTCCTTCTTCACCTCTTGGTAATCTCGCAGTTCGCCATGTGCAGACCGCTGAAGTCCTCCAGCCTGACAGCGAACCCCTCCATCCCCCGTATCCTGCTTCTCTGCATCACGCACTCGCTGTCGTCCTGCCAGTCTTCCATCAGCCACCCTCTAAGTGCCTCCTCCTGCCCCCCTACCCTCAGGTTGATCCCGGAGTAGGCGAACGCGTGCAGTGTGTTCTTCTCCTTGACGTTCATGTTGTCGTCGTCGAGCCCTCCGATCTCGCAGTCTACGAGGGACACCACCGATGGCTTGTGAGACAGCATGGTCTTGATGCTGTCCAGCACGACACAGTCAGGAACGGGGTTCGAACTGGCAAGCTCGCCGTTCTCAACTCTGAGCGCGCAATCCCCCCCGCAGAAGAGCCTGCATCCCTCGAACTGCCAGCTGGACCCTCTCATCAGGACCGTCTGCACTTCGTCCAGGTCGTTGCTAGCCGTCCACACCAGGCTGCAGCCCTGCAGCTTGCCTGCGCTGCCCTCCGTCAGAGTCCAGGTGGTGTACACCTTGGAGGAGGAGTTTTGTCCCCTGATGTTGATCTTCCCGTCTATGACGATGCTCTGCAGGAAGGAAAAGAACGTCCCTCCCTCCAACGTCACGTCCAGGTTCTTGTCCATGGCCTCCAACAGCCCGGGAGCGAGCGAAGACAGGGCGCTGATGAACGCCCTCGGAGATTCTTTGTGATTCGCCACAGATCGCAAGACGATCTGCTCTGCTCTGTGTGACAGAAACTTGCTCTTCACCCTTGACCTGTCTCCATCCCCCTGCTGCGCCTCGACAGCAGCAAGCTCCGAAGCCTCTTCATCCTCCGTCTCGTTGCCTTGCTGTAGACCTGCCTGCATCTCTATGAAGGAGGAGCTCAGGAGTTGTGCACGTCTCGAGTCCTTGAGCAATTGACTCCAAGGAACATCCTCCTCCTCCTCCTCCTCCTCCTCCTCCTCTTTCTCCTTGTCTCCGCGTTTGGAGCCCAACCTGATCTCGTCTGGGATGTGCCTTGGTCGTCTGCTCCTCGTCTGCTCCTCCTCTTCACAAGGCATCAGCTCAGGATAAGTTCTTAACTCGGGGATCAGATCGGACAGCTGAAATTCTTTCTGCCTCCTCGATTCGGGCCTGTGCGATGGCGACCCGCAGATCTCCAGACAGGCCAGGAGGAGGGAGAGTACGAGCAAGAGGCTGCTGCTCTCGCAGTGATACATCGTTACGGCGTTAGAGTCGCTGCTCTCCTGTCAAGTTATGGACGGAGCATGGAGGAGGATCAGTGACGCGATCATCTCCCAGCAGCATCCCTTGCTCTCTTGACCCATCTCGAGTTCGACTGGTCAACTCTTCACAGTTACATCTGCTCCTCCCACCCCCCTCTCATTTCACCGATGAAGCCTTCTCCTTCCCTTTCAACTCTCATCTTCTCTATCTTCCTCCTCTCCTCCTCCTCTCCTCTCCTCCTCTCCTCTCCTCCTCTCCTCTCCTCCTCTCCTCCTCCTCCTCTCCTCCTCTCCTCTCCTCCTCTCCTCTCAATTCCAGGGTACTGATCGTCTCAGCGGTCTCATCCCATTTTTTTAATCTTTTACAAGACTTTCCGATGGGAATTCCACGGGCGATTCAGCTGGATCCGGGTGGGGTAGGGTACTGTCAGGGGTGCGAAGAATGGAGGAGGAAGGGTTCGAGTGGATCCTAGAGGCGGAGGATGCGGTGAGGGCGATGCAGGAGTCTGGGCTCCTTGAAAACGAGGAGGGAGGAGGAGGAGGAGGAGGAGGAGGAGGAGGAGGAGGAGGAGGAGGAGGAGGAGGAGGAGGAGATAATCTAGATCGAGCTCGCAAGAGTATCATGATTGTTGGTTGTGGTTCCAGCAAACTGAGCAAGATTCTCTACGACCTCGGCCACCGGAGGATCACGAATGTCGACATAGACGAGGGGATCATCGAGGACATGAAGAGAAAGTACGAGGAGGAAGCGCCGGAGATGAGCTGGGTTACCTGCGATATCACCAAGGCGAAAGAGTCCCTGGAAGAGGATGAATCCTTCGACCTTATCCTCGATAAGGGGACTCTAGATGCTCTCCTCTGCGCGGACGGCGTGACCGATGTATGCTCACAGCTGTCTGCTGCCTCCTCTTCCTCTCGAGAGGAGCATGGAGAGAGGGACTGACGTTCATCGGGCAGGGGTATATGGAGATCCTGCGGCTGCTCAGGGTTGGCGGAGTATTTTCGGTGATCTCTTTCAGACCTGCAGAGCTCATCGCCCAGTTCCTTCGTGTACCTGAGCTGCCGGTGGAGGTTGAGATCAAGACGCTGGAGACAGGCTCGTCGACGAGGAAGGCCAGCATGTTCCTGCTGCGCAAGATCAGCGCACTGCCCTGGGTAGACCGTGATGAAGTCAGGAGCTACCAGAACGACGTCATCAAGGTCAGCTAGACCCACGTCCTCCATCTTCGATCTTGAAGTTCTTGTCCTAGCGATGGTACCAGGAAGAGACTCCCCTGCTGACCGCAGAGCGCGTGATGATGATAAAAGAAGGGTTCTCCAGTACAGGCAAGTACATCCTCTTTTTCCTCATCCTCCTTGAGCCCATGAGTGAGTTTTTTCCTGCTGTTGTTGGCTGATGATAATACAGGAAAGGAGAAGCTTGACCTAGAGGCTTGCTACCAAGTATCCTCCTCCTCATTACCCTCGCACGCTAGTGATCTTTCCGACCTGCAGATTTTGTTCTTGCCGGAGGAAAGGAGTAGCTACGGGTACAACTTCGAGCATTTCCTCGAGGATTTGAAGGATTTCCGGGGGGATGAGGTGAGGGGTAGACAACACGGTCGTCGCTGACTGAACATGCAGTCGAAGGAGGGGATGAATGCGGAGGAAGCGCTCGAGTTCTTGAAGGAGATGCAGTAGAGAGGGAGCAGGAGCAGCTGGTGCAGCAACGGAAGGAGCAGCAGGAGAACGGAGAAAGGGGAGTTCGGTGGGGGGGCGGCAGGGAGGGTGCGGCGAGGAGGATATAGCCATTCTCAATATTCCCTTGTCCATGTAAATATTCCTTACAGGCTTGACGCCCCTTTTTCTGCCTTCACGGAGTAGAGCCCCTTGACCCCTTCGGCCTCCTCATCGGCGGGAGGATTCTTGGCGACGAACTGCTTGAGCTTGCCGGGAGTCTTGTTGGTCCCTTGCTCCTCGTCCATGCAGTAGCACTGGAAGATGGTGTCTATGCAGATCTCCTGTTGAGCAGGCAAGAGCGTCACTCCGCAAGCGCACACGCAGACGACTACTAACTCACCCACACGTCGAGGAAGATGCTGGCAATGCCGAAGGCGATGAGGAGGATGATTGTCATGGGAAAGACGGGGGCGTCGGTAACGTTGCCGTAGTCCCCTCCCACCATGATAAGGGCACAGATGATGCCGGTGACAAGGGCGATGAAGAGCTTGCCGATGTAGATGTAGATCGTTGCTACGATGTTGAGGGTTCCGATGCGCAGACAATTCCTGACGAGAAGATTGAAGGCTGCGACTGCTGCTGTCCAGAAACCAGCCCCAGTGATGGCGGTCTGGATGTACGCGTTCTTGTTGATGAAGTTGAGGAAGCGCTCGAGGCAGGCAAGGCAGCACTCGCCGATAAAGGCGAGCACCTTGACGATCTTGGAGTCAGGGTTCATCTTCTTCAGCTGGTACATGTAGTATCTGAAAATCCACCTGATCATCTGGACGACTGCGATGATGAAGCTGCCCAAGGCTGCTGTGCCCGAGTGGTATCTCAGAGTCCGACGGAAGGAGCTCAGGACAGGGAGCACCAGGTTGAGCTTGTCATCCACCAGGAACCACTGCAGCATCACAGTTGTCACTTCAAGAGAACAGGGAAAGTCTCAATCACCTCAGCGCTGGCTCCGGCCACGACCAAGTTGCCGATGGCGAGGATGAAGGACCTGCCCCACAGGAGCCCGAAGAAGTGGTAGATCATCACCCGCTGTAAAGCCGTGTCCCAGACGTATTGATGAGCGTTGGCGTCCCAGCTGCCAGCGGCCACTAGGTAGAGCATGACGAAGATCCACCAGACAAAGAGGGAGATCATCACCAACCACTGGAAGATGCAGAAGACGAACACGGAGGGGATCGTCATGATACACTCGGAGGCGAGCTCGATGACCTCGATGGCGATCAAGACGCGCTTGAACAAGAAGATGAACAAGAGCGTGTAGATCAAGAAAATAACTCCACAGATCACAGCTGCCGCAATGACCAGGTTCTGATTCTGCTGCGCTTGCTGGAAGGTAAAGCCAGCGGGCAAGTAGCTGCTGGAGTAGGACGACCCGGGCAGCTGAGAGGAGTCGATGAAACCTGCCTTGATTGACAAGATGGCCGTCGCACCTCCAAGAAGGAACCACGTGAAGATGAGGACAGCAAAGGTGATCGGCTTCGCTGCAAGGCGAAGCATCAGAGCATACAGCAGGGACACGCCAAGAGCGATGCCAGCTGAGGCAACGATGACACCCCACTTCTCCTGAATCTGGTCGGTCAGGTAGGCGAAGGATTGCTGCGGGCCTTCGAAGGAGCTCATGACGGAGGAAAACGAGCTGCTGTCTGTGGTCGCATTGGCGCCGACCCCCTGAATCTTGCTGGAGATGAAAGGGAGGCAGCGATTGAAGCCTTTGATGGACGTTGAGGGGTATGGGATGTAGCAGAAGCCGTACTTGTACCCCATCGTGACCCCTGCCACCGTCCCCTTCTCTGATTCAGGGATTAGCTCTACATTATCCTGCCCCCCTACCTCTCCTTTGGATTTTCCCGTACAGCACAGATAGGAAGGCGATCCAGAGGAGCATTTGCAGGTCGGCCGGTACCTCAAACAATCCATGGGCGCTTGCAAAAATCCCGGCTGCTCGAGGTTTGTCCTCCCATCTGCCTCCCCTCCACAGACAATCTTCTGCCGTGAAGATGTCGCCGGCAGCTCATAGCTGTACATACACCTGCACATGATCGAGTCAGTCTGGGGCCTCTGTGAGAGCGCTTGCTCTACATGATAGAGAGCATGGAGGCGTTGGTGAGCCCGCAGTCCTTGAGACATACCGCCCACGTCAGGTCCGTGGAGCTGCTTGTTGAGTTGTAAGGGAAGGGATAGTAGCTGCAAAGGACGATCAGCAAAACATCGTAAGGGACAAGGAAGATGATGAGATTACAGGTATTTCAAGCCTTTCACATCTCCGTACCCACAAGTTCGTCCTAGAAAGTCGTACCCATACCGCAATCTGTTTGGATTTCCTTTGACAAACCCTACGATGCCTACAACCAACATCCCGAACCAGAAGCAAATGAAGAACAGCAGGCAAAGCACGTTGGTGCACTTCCTGTCTTGCTTGAGTTCGAAGGTTTCCATTGCAGCCTGTGAAAATCGTCATAAATGCAACATTCCTACCAGGTCATGGTAGGCTTTGGCCTTTCGTATAATGCACGTCGTGACAGGCAAGGATCAGTGAGCACGAAAGAGGAGGGAAGAGGATGGAGCAGGAGGTACATCTCTGCTGCATGGCTCCAAGGCTTCACCTGATCTCCACCCTCTCGCTTCGCATCCTCCCTCGCATCTCCCATATCGGCGTCCATGGCCGCTGGGAAGCCTGCCCTGACCAGCAGCAATCACCGCAAAGATTAGGGATTGCTCTTTTCTCTTAGTATTCCATTCGAGAAATGCTCGACCTTGAGGGGGGTAGCTTGCAACTGCAGGCTAGTCAAACTTCACTACTTTTCGTCCGATGTTACCATGAAAAGCTATAATAATCAGTGGGCCCCAAGGGGGGTGGGGTGGGGGGTCCCTTTTAACCCCGGTACGGGGTGGGATGCGGCGTAAGAAGGGGGTCCAGCCAAGCGAAGTGACTCGGAGCAGCTACAGCATGAATGGGAGTTTTAAAATGTATATGAATGCAGTACTGCAGTTTGAAGCATGGGCGCATTCAGTACAGAGTGTATTTTATTTTGTATCCAGTTTATTCGCAAAGATACGATAATAATTGTATGGAATGCTGCAGCATGTAATGAAATTTGTACCTGCAGCAATAAGTCTTGGTACGAAAATCTAATACGAAGTTAATCTTGAGAGAGTTGTTTCTAACAAAATGAGGCGGGCTGGGACAAATGACGGTTACGTGGGATCCGAGTACCATAACCGTCACAATGCGTCCATGCCGCCTCTATATGGTGGGGGGGTTGTGGGGGCGGGATCGAGGCATGGAGGATGAGGAGAGTAGAGGAGAGTAGAGGAGACACTATTTCATGAAACAACAGACCCACGACATGGCAGAGAGGGCGGGGAATGAGAAGTTCATCGGAAGGAGGGCAGCAACACAGCTTGGCTGTCAGGATCCTAGCAATGATAATATATGTGAGCCGTGAAGTCTGATCGGGAACTTGGAGAGCATGAGCCTGGGCGTTCGAAAGGAAGTGAAGATTCTGTGGATATACGGGTCGGGAAGTTTTGATAGGAAAGAAACAACCAATGGGTCCTAACAGACGAAGTTTTGGTTGAAGTACAGCAAGTGGTGAAGGTTGAACGACCATTATCATGGCTAAATCTGGTCAGATCATCTCGGCAATACGCATGAATCGCAAGCCAGGCTTTGCTCTCCTGATCCTTCTATGTGCGTTGCTCCACGCTCAGTGCTTGTGGGATGATCGCGCATCGATTCAACATTCCACGTGTCGTCGAGCCCTTGCTGAGCATCTTGTGATACGAGGAGGCAAGAGCGGAGTTTCTGGTTTCAAAAAGTCCAAGTTGAGGTAGCATCGTCGTCGCTATGAGTGCGTGTACGTGTTTTAGTAATCCTACTCCAGTTTGCGCGAAGAAAAGCGACGAGAAAGAATCGCGAGAGGGAGGAGACTGGAGGTGCTTGTGTCTTTGATTGCAGCTTGCCAAAGTTCTGAGCTGGAATGTTGATCCCAGAAAGCCGAGGGGAGGAACCAGAGGCAGGCATCGAGGAAGGATCAGAGCTCGAAAAGGAGCAAGTGGAGCACAGAGCGGGCGCTGAAGCAGGTAGAGGGTTCTTTGACATACACGCACGGCAGGCTCACGTCCTGTCGAACCTTTCAGGCCAAACGGAGGGCAGAAAGAAAGCGCCAACGGATTGAGGTCAGTATCTTGTGAACCCAGCTGTCTCTCCTGCTGACTGATGATGTAGAGTGCCAAAACCGCAGCCTCGCCTTCTGAAACCGCAGCCTCGCCTTCAAAGTCCCCGACTGTTGCAAAGAAATCGTCACGGGAGGAGAAGGATGCCGGCGAGGACCTTGTGATATTAGATGAGCACGGACGGAAGATTTCTTCAAAACTGCCAAAGCTAATCTACGCGTCTGACGTGGTGCCGGGGGCCGAAATGAAAGACGAAGGATTTCATAGCAAGTTGAAGCCAGTTGTCGATGCCGACGGAAATATCTACTTTGAGGTTTATTTGCATGGAACTGCGTCGAGATTGAATGCAGATTGTTAGGATTATCGCTCTCCTGAAGAGCTGAAGAAGGGAAAGGAGGAGCTTGAGAGATGGCTCGAACTGAACGACGATAAGTTGGAGGGTGCGAGATTTCATCGTTTGAATTTACAATGTTGTGGTGACGATTTCCCTTCAGTGAAATCGAAGAAGTCCGGCAAGAAGAAAGTGGGAAAGGACGAACCAAGGGGTATTGCTAAGACGGTGTTTTCAGACTGGTAGCTCGCAAAATTCTTCTAATCACTTTGCAAGAAGACAAAAAGCCTTCCATTGAAGAAGGACAGTATAATTGAAGGCCTGAAATCAGAAATCTCCAATTTGGAAAGCAAAATTAAGAAGAAGAGGTCTCGCCATATTCTTGTTGTGAGCCAGAGTGACCAACAATGACCAGGCGAGATATAAGGCAAGTGATCAAGCAAGCAGCTATGGTCCTAAAAAGGACTTCTCCACGAAAGAGTGCGCAACCTTAGCTCTTGAAGACGTGGCTGACTTCCAGATGTACGTAGAAAGCAGCAAGCAGACTTTGAGTCGTTCAGCTTCTACTCAGCTTCAAACGCATGAAGTAGAGAAGTCAAATGTAACGACCGCAACACCATCGGCCGAAAAATCGTTTGGCGCTGTCGATTCCTTCCTCCAGAGGCTGCAGAGTTATACCCCTGACAAGCCTCTGGCTCAAATAGACATTGAGCAGCTCAAACGAGCAGAGGAAGAGAGAAGAAAAGTCGAGGAGGCTCGAGAGAAAGAGCCTTCCAGATTATATGCGGACAGTGAAGAAAGCAGTGCAGTCCCAACATTTGAGGAGCAGGTACGCCTTGGGAGGCAGTGCTTTCAACTGAAGAGTAGATTCGTAGATGGGTCCCTGCAACGAATATGGAGATTTTCTTCACATCAAACCTTTCAACAAGACCGTTTACCGACTTTTGCCGCCGATGGAAAGATTGTTCAAAGGACACACAGAGGTGAAGGCCGCTTGTCACAAACCAAACGGATGTGTTCCCTGATGGTTCTGTAGGAAATCACCTTCACTATTCGGGATCCTGCCGAGCAAGGCCTCGATCCTCTGAGCTGTTTTGCCGACGAGATTCTTCCCTTATGCAGGCCTCGAATTTCACCCCAGGGAGACTCGGAGGAAGATTGGTCTACCAATATGCAAACGTCGGCACAAACTCCTGCTGAACGAGACGAATCCAAACCATCGAGAGTGTCTCCGGCTCAGAACAGGGAAAAGCAAGAAACGATTCTACCAGGTTTTTCATTCGAGAAGCCCAAGGTGCTGTTGACGACATCTCTTCTTTGACTTTCTGAGCTTGTTCTGCAGCCCGGCGACATTCTTATCACAAAAGGAGGAGCCCAGTCCCTGGTAGACGCAGTGAACAACGCTGAAACTCAAAATACAAGCAAGAGGATCTTCTTGGGTGAAGGGTACCATGAATACAGCGGCAGGCTGCATCTCAAATTCCCAGTCATGCTGTTCGCAAAGAAGGTCAGTGTTTGATTTCCTGCTGGGCTATGTGATGTAACAAGTCCCAGGGCGCAACGCTCATCGTCCCTATCCTGGTGGCACCAGAAGCTGACTGGACGCGAGGAGGGCAGATGCGCTCAGTCTCAATGCTGCTGGTGAAGAAGCCGCCTGCCTTTGGGCAGTTGGATCCTTTGTTCACCATCACCAGCCAAGTCACTTGTTGTCGCATTGCTTCATATGCCATGACGCTGCCTGTCAGGTTGGGAGGATCGAGTGGACGTTCCTCAACTGTGAGCTCATGGCCAAGAAGCGAGACGTGCTCAAGGTCAGAAGCAACGTCACGGTCAACGCGCACGTCTGCTTCCTCGGGGGCTACAAGCAGGTAATGCCGTGAAACCAGCGGTGCCAGAGTGTGAGAGGTGACGGCAGGAGGCGGCGGAAGGGTGCACTCGGTGTGTTGCGGTCGAGGGAGGAGGAGTAGAGGGTCAGCAAGCGAGGCTCTCCATGACCGGCTGCTCCCTTGCGTTTGGCAAGACAGGGATCGTCACTGGGGGGAACGCCAAGGTGTCGATGAAGCACTCTAGCGTACAGAACTTCAACCTTGGGTGCCAGATGCTGGACGCTGCTCAGGTTCAGTTGCCAGTCGTCAGTCATGCGATCTCAACTTAACGCCTTGAACAGATGGCAGTGACCAACTCTACCTTCAAAGCAATAAAGGACGCGGCATTCAGGTCGATCCCCTTACCGAACAACTCGACTTTGAGAGTGGAAAATTCCTCATTCCAGTATGGAGCTCATGTCTTTGAAAGATCCAGTAGTTCTGACATTTCGATACCAGGGGCGTGCGGTGGTCAACCCCTGATAGGCCGGATAAATGTGAAGGGATATGATGATAAAAATGACAAGTCACAAGTCAATCGGGCTGGGACTCAGTGACTGACCCGGGCCTAGAGACTCTCTGTAGTACTACGATAAGGCCTTTCAATGCAAGAGACCCCCGGCCGCTGCAATACTACAGTTGTCCCGAGCCTCCGAAGAGGTCTGTCACACGTGCTATCATAGACGGTATGCGGCCGGGCGATAACCCGGCGTGGACTAGCCGCTGAGCGCCCGCGATCACGGCAGGGCCGCAGTGGGCCCGGCGGGACTCCGATCCCGTTGACGTTTCGGAGGATGAGTTGGTGGCAGCCTAGTACCGTGAGAAGTACATCGGTTGAACCGTGTTCTTTGGGTCCTATATCGGACAGGCTTCAAGTCACCGTCTGAAGGCTGGCTGCCGCCCGGCCGGCAGTGTAGTCCCTCCGTGTTGTCCCGGGCCCGCCCGGGATTTTTTTTCCTTCTTTGAAAGCTGGTCACCTTATCGGCCATGCTCTTGCCTCGGAGGAAGGCGGAGGAGGGAGGGAGGGCAGGAGGAGGAGGAGGAGGAGGAGGAGGAGGAGGAGAGAAGAACGGCACCACCAAGAGCCCTTACAGGCTGTTGAGTACTGACGAAGACGGCTTCACCGATGATTCTGAGATCGATGTTGAGAGCGCAGCAAGCGGATCGCGAAACAGAGGAAGAGGTGGGAGGAAGGACGAGTACGTAGATGATCTCAACGACGAGGACGAGTGGGACGAGCAGAGTGAAGGGTCTCAGCGCTATCAGAGCCAGGACGGGCAGTCATATGACAGCTTGGAGGACAGCCAAGGAAGCCAGGACGAGATTGACGCTGAAAGGTACGAGGAGGATGAGCAATCGAGCGAGAGCCGAAGCAGAGGCGACGAGGAGTACGACGACGAGAACGGGTACAGCCTGAGCGAGGATGGAGAGCTGGTGTCGGAGAGGAGCGAGTCGCAGGGGAGCGAAGGGAGAGAGATGCAGAGCGGAAGCTGGAGCGAGGCCTCGATGCGAGAGGACGAGGAGGTGGAGGATGTAAGTTGGAAATTCCTCGACTTGCACCTGTAAACTCTTGTGTTGATCTCTAGGATGACTACGATGAGTTCATCGTCTTGAATCAGTACCTGGCTGTCCTCAGGAAGAAGGAGTTGCTACCCCAGGTGAAGGGCAGCTCTGCTTGTGAATGACTGTCCTGTCCTGTTCCTCCCCCCTCTCGCTGCGTCTTCCTAGTTTCTCCTCTCTATCGTTTGCACGCTCTTGCAGACTTGTTTTGCCTCCGCCCTTCCAGCTCCCTGCTCCCTGCTCCCTGCTCCCTGCTCTTTGCTCCCTGCTCCCTTCTCCCATCTCTCACGCAGTACTTCAGATCCTCACGCTGCACGAAGCCATAGAAGCCTTTCACAAGCATGCTGTCTTCCACGAGAATGCAAGCAAAGTTGAAAAAACGCTGAACGTGCAGGAGTTTCAGACTTTGATCCAGTCCGTGCTGGCGGAGAAGGTCACCCTCTCTACCTCGAACCCTCCTCTCCTGACTCTCCCTCCAAGGTCTGGGCCAGCACCTCCACGAAAATCTCTGAAGCAGACAGTCGTTCAGACATTGGGGACAAGGAAGAGGAGGAGGAGGAGGAGGAGGAGGAGGAGGAGGAGGAGGAGGAGGGGAGAGCTCAAAGAGTTACACAAACCCGCAACGCTTTCAAGAACATCATCGAACATGTTGAGAACGGGCGACTGAGCACCCTCAAGGTGGAACGTAGCCTTTGTTTTTGGGATTCACTGATGTGAGTTGCAGGAGGCGGAGGAAGGAGATGTCAACTCTTCCAACGATGCTGCAAGCACTGAGAACGCGAGGGAGCGGAGGGCTGAGACCTTGAGGAGGGAGCAGGGGGACGGGAGCAGGCAGGTGGGAGGCAGGCAGGAGGAGGAGGAGAGGAGAGAAGATCGCAACGAGTTCATGAATGCATGGAAGGAAAGTTTTGACATCACCAGGAGCCAGCCAAGGAAGGTCAACATCGACAACTTCCAGCAGGAGAGGAGAAGCACGGGGGACAGCCAGGAAAACAGAAGGTCAGGATACTCTAGAGTCTCCAACCAGTCCCAGCAGTCCCTGCTGGACGGTGAGTCGCCCCTGAGCTCAAGAGAGTCGAAGGAGGCGCCGAGGACGACTGGCCGAGTTGGCCAGCTGCTGGGAAAGTTCGAGGGGGGCAGGAATGCCGTCCAGCCGAGCGCCATTGGGGAGGCATCGCCATTGGGGGGGAGGGGGAGGGAGATGCCGAGCGTGAGGGTGCAGGAGGAGAAGGGAGTGTACCTGCGGCAGGCAGAGGCGGAGCAGGAGAGGGGACTGCAGGAGAAGTGCGTCAAGCTGGAGCTGAGAAATCAAGAGCTGAAGGATCTGGTGTCGAGGATGATCGCTGAGCGGCAGAAGGAGATGGAGACGAAGAGGTCGGAAGACGTCGACGCTAAGATCGAAAGCCTTGAGCAGGAGGTTCTGCGATGGAAGGTGGCGGCGCAGGATGAGCTTGCGGTGAGGAAGAGGAGGAAGGAGGAGGAGGAGGAGGAGGAGGAGGAGGGAGGGGGG